CCCATACATACACAATTAAAAATTCAGTATGGGAAGAAAAATAAAGAAGTTATTTTTTTCTTTTTATCTTCATTGTTCCACTATTATTCCTTTCATGTACTGTGGTACATGAAGTTCATTCTCGTATATGCTCTTAACCTTCATTAATGCATGTTAATTTTGAAATAGACAACTGTAGCAACATTCAAGGAACCTTTTATAAAGTTGATAGACCAGCTCATCAGTTCAATGTAAAGTATTCTTTGAAGTCATCCACTGCAGTCAAAAGTTAAGTCTTTTCCGGTTTCTCTGGGTCTCCTTAACTATGAAGGAAAACATGATTGTTCAAACTGCTATTCTTGATTAACTCTATAAATACTTTAAAAAATTTTATTGATATAAACCTTGCATTATGAACACTGGTTCAAATAAATTATGTTTATTTATACAACGTCCCTTATTACCAATTGCAACATGCAGATACTTTAAAATTGACCATATATATATATATATATATATATATATATATATATATATATATATATATATATATATATATGTTTGTGTGTTAATAAAAGGCAAAAGGGAAAATAGCAAAAAAGGAGAGGGAATACGATTATGTGAGAATATGTGTAGGCTAGGCACTGTTGGGACGTCATTCCTAGTAAAGCAAAGGTAGTGTAAAGAATAAAGGCTTCGTAGTATCTTATAAGAGAATCTGATTGATGGTGGTGGCCATAAGAGAATCGGAGCATACTACCAGACCTCTAATATTTTGCAATTACATAGAAAACTGATTTTGTTTCCAAATTGGAGCCACGTTATCATGGAAAAGTCAGTTGTACGAGGGCTTCTTCCTATGACGTTTGGAAAGTAGATAACAACATTTATAATTACGATGATGACTACCAAAGCAATCGTCCAAATTTGAACGTAAATTATACTGATCTCACAGTAAAAACAAGAAAATTTTGGATTAGTAAGGGGTCCCAAAACTCGATTGCAAATTGGAACCGACTCAGATTTTCCATTAAGTGTCGTGTGTCCATTTGTAATCTGGTGGACCATTGTGCTTTCCATTATTAAAAAGGCAACAAAGAGGTTATATAAATAATTAACTCAAGACAAAGCAATCTTATTGTTCTTACCAAGTCAAATAAATGGCAGTTTTTGCCATAAAGGCCACAAAGAAAAGTTGAGAAAACAAGCTGAGATCTCCTTCACTGTAACATTGGCTTAATTAGCTATTGCCATCTACTGCACACATTATGAGTGGTTACAACAGTAATAAATAAACTGCAAGTGAGATTCTAAAAGGGTGCTTAGGAAAAAAAAAAGTTATGTCTATTTTTTTTGTTTGCTTAAAGAAGAGGCAAGGCAAAATAAGCCTGAGTGGATAGTCTAGCTGCTATTACTGTGTGCATATCTGATAAGGAGATTACTTGCCATTTCAGTAAAATGTCTCTTTTACTTGGTGAAGCTTTTCTATTTTTGTTCTTTATTTTATAAATAATTATAAAAACATCTCTCTTATCATTAGAGTAAAGTGAAAATAAGAAAATATTTTTGTATTGATTGACAAAAGAATACACTTCTTGAATCAAAATAGTTCTTTACCACCAATTGTTTTGGTGCATTGAAAACTTTTCAACATAACTAGTTGTTACATGCTTAGAAGCGTGGTGAAAAAGTAATCAATAAGCATATTATGCAACACATTTCATAGTGGCTTCAGGATTAATATGAATTTTCTACATGATGAAATGCCAATCAAACACAATTTGAGAAAAGTAAGTCAAACCAAGATCAAAAGGACCCTTCTATTATCAGTTAAGGCAAAGAGAGAGGATTCCTCAACATAAGTTCAAGCTATTGACTACAACTTTTATTGAGTAATATATATATATATATATATAAAGATGACTTGAGTGTTTGGTGATAATGGAAACATTGTTGTCAAAAGGAGAGTTGAAAAAGGTCTCAGAAATACAAAAGGAGAGCGTATGATGGGGATGAACATAACGAAGTTAAAAGAGTTTGGCTGAAGTCATGGTTTAGGATTGTAGATTTTGAGATCTCAAATTAGAAGCAATGTATTTTGACACGTTGCAAAGTACAAAAGACAAGAAAACAAACATGGACTGTGTGGCATAGCTTTGCTGAGAAAGCTGGTGAGAAAGAATGAAATTAGCGGATGATTAAGACGATATGTATCATTGAAAGCAAAGTGGGGATACAGAATCAGCTAGTGGATTCAATGATACAATAACTTCCAATAATCAAAAGTCAAGCACCAATGAAAAAGTAGAGGGTCGGTACCCATGTTCTGAAGTTTGTTACATTGACGGTCATATCCTTCAGTGATACCAATATTTCTAGTTCATCTCTTTTTTATGGAAATTTTCCACCATTCTCTAGTTCATCTTAAGTTTCTAGAAATCAAGGGAAAGATATGCAGAGTGTAATGTGGTATGAAAGAAAAATTGAAGATTATAGAAAAAGGACAAGGGAAAAGGCTATAGTTCACTATTTATACATATATATTAGGTCTGTTGAAATCAATTTAGTCATAAAACTTGTTTTTCCAAAGTGGGGTGGGGAAAAATATTAATGAAGGAAAGGAAAACTGTTTGGTGGTCACTCAACTCCGCAACAAACAGCAAAAGATAAAGAGGTGTAACTAAGTGATGTAATATGATAGAAAGAAAAATACATAAGTTTTGATAGTGTATGATACATAAAAGGAGTTTATAACTCTATATATCTTCACTCAATATTAAGATTTGGTTAGATTAGCTCTATCCTGTGACGAAATTAAGACAAAAAAAAAGGTTAGGTAATTAGGTTAAGGTTAAAACAGTCCCATAATCAAATAAATGCTTTAACCTATTATTTATTTATTTTTAATGGACACTCTACTGTATGCTATCTCTCATCACTTTCTACAATTGCAACTTTTAAATTTAATGGTTTGAAAGCAAAAGTAAGAATGTATTTGGATAATGAATAGATCATACCACTTCTGAGTTTCTCAATCATCAGCTATTTAAAGCAATGGTCAGAAACTAACTTCCTCCCTAGCCTTCTATAGAGCCCTTTGGAGAAATCGTTCAAACTAATCTATCTGGTATAGGCATGGAGCTTTGTTGGCAAAAATCCATCCATGGCTCTTAAAGAAGCATGGAGGATTGTGTGAGAGGGTCCTCACCCCTCACACTCCTCCACCTCTTACAGTTTGCTTATGGTTAGCCATTGGCCTCTCTAATCAATAACCACAAAGGGTGTATATTGAGGAACATGATTCCCTGAGTGTCATGAAGCAGAGAAGCATTCTCCATAGGTCAGAGACGCTTTGGCTAGAGCCAGGTAAACCGGCAAGTCACAAAAAGGCAATGGACTCTTTCTCATTAGGGGGTCCTTATGGCTATGTATTGACTCTATTGTACTTCTTCTTCTTCTTCTTCTTCTACCAGTAGAATGTAATAAACAAAGATGTTCTTTCTTTGAGAAGCTAGCTACCAAGTTGTGTTGTCCATAACACTCAATTTGCAGATGACTAGAATCCGGGTTTCTCTACAGGTTCTGCAGATGAGTAGGTAGGTAATTATAACCTTATATTCCTCATCCTTTTCTTAACCTTGCTGTGTGTCTTTGCCTTTTCCCATGTGTGTTCGTGTGTATGCTTGTTGTGGAGCCTTATATGCAATAAAATAATTTTAGTGGTGACTTAGTTCCTTAAAGGGTAGGGTTATGTTCTGCAGAAGTTGATTGGTTAGAAAGCTGCAAATCCCTCCAAGAAAAGTTGTTAAAAGTCAAAATGACCAAGCCCCTTTTGCACTCGAGTTTCTGATTTTACTAAGATTAAAAGTTCATCTCTCCCTGTAAAAACTAACAATGAGAAATGGATTTTTTTTTTTTTTTGCTAAAATTAATATGAAGTCAATAACACTATTACATGAGTGTTTTTTTCAGTTCAACACACACTTTGCCACTGCCTTTTTGTCTCAGAAAGTGGAAGAATCTCATTGAACATGGTTACAACAAAAACCAAACACACCCTCTCATCATCCAAGACAGAATTTATCTGTCTTGGAACTAGTTCAACACTTAAGTGACAGTTAGATTTCGGTCCAATTGATTTTAATTATTGAACTTGATTAAGATATGTATCCGAAGTAATCTCAATAACACTTTTTCAATTGAAATGTATATGGTAATAAGTAAAATTGATAATTATGGATGCTAACAAAAGGAGCTCGAGTTAACCAAGAAAACCGAGTTCAATGGAAGACATGTCACAATATATACAAATAATTATAGTTTTCTCCCGTATTTTTTTTCTTGCTGTTATTGAATATGCTTCGTTAATGGTTCATGAAATATATTGAGTAAAATTTGGAAGACTGAAACAATTCATCACCATATTCCTTCTCATAAATAGAATACATTGTTACAAAGAATGCCATTGAATCTCGTAAATAGAATCTCAAACCCTATTTGGAAATTGGAAGAGAATTTTATTTCACCATTACCTATTAGCCAATGGGAGCGCCATTTTGTTTTAAATAGAATTGCCATTGTCTCAAAACTAGAATCTTAAACCTTAAACCATCATAAAAAAAAATCGCCCTTTTACCAAAAAGATTTCCTGTATTTTCTGAAATTGGTCTATTAGAGGGATTCACATAAAACTAACTAAAACATAGAAACTTCGTTCCATTCCAAGTATTATTATAAAACGTGCTTGTAAATACTACATACACGAATACAAGATCCATTTACAATCTAGACACTTTTTTTTTTCCGAAACCAAACACCTTAAGAAAGTGACTCCAAGCTCAAAGCCATGGGAAGAATTGGCAAACCAATCCGTATCCTATTTTCTTCCCTCTCTATCTTGTTCATTCTAATCAAACTATCACTAAAGGCATGCAGCAAAAAACTTATAGAACACATATTTTAAATAAAACTACGCAAAATGAATAAGAAACTGGTTGTGGAATGATTATGAGGAATTTTGTTCAGCTTTTCCAAGTTCCCTTTCCATATTTTAAGAGAGAAACATATAGCAATTCATTCCAAGTATCCGGTACCCCAGGCAAGCACCAATGGCTGCAATCTTCAAATAGTGCAGTAGAGTTCTGATCCGTTGATTTCTTATACTCCCTTCGGTATACTGAAGGATGCCCATCTTTTCTGTAATCTGTAAGCCTACTTATATTCATATATACTATTGGGGTTTTCATATGTTGGATGACACTTTCTAGAGCCAGCATTTTTGAAGGATACTTTTGTAAGTAAGTTTCATTAAATATTGGCTCAGTTTCTTTATGGCACTGTCCTCCTGAATTCCATTGCCCACCCCTGCATAGTATTAGAACTTACTCAAGTTATAACCTTGGACAAGTCTTGGTAGTAAGAGAGGTACTGTTTAACTAATTATGATTGTGGTTAAAGCAAATCATAAAATGTTAGACTTATTGCCAGTAGTTAATTTAAATGATAAGGGTTAGTGGTTAGTTGAAATTACAACAGATTTTTACGCCATATAGCAGGCAAATTTAAATTTGCTTAACAAAGAACAAAATTCAACCCAGTGAGGATGCTGCAAATTGCAGTAAAGGAAATACATTCTAGAGCTAATTGTATTCTGGAGTAGTTTACTACAGTACCAATTCTAAAAGGCAGGTGCATGCCATGATGCAAGGAGGAAGTAGAGGTGAGGGTGAACTTGCTTAAGTAGTAAGCCTAATTCTTGAGTATTTTCTAAGTAGCACATATTTTCAGTTAGAAACAGACTTGGACTAATTATTGAGTCCATGTAAAAGTAAAGAAACAGTACCAAGTCCTGATATAAATGAATTGTGGAAGCTGTGAAAAAGAGAACCATACCAGAAATGGGTGACTGAGTATCCTCGGAAGAAAACCTGAGTTTGATTGGCATTGACTTTTCGATCAATCCATTTGGCCCAAGTGGTCAAAGCCCTCGTGTATGCATCCAGAACCTTGAGTCTTGCGTGTACATGGTTTCCTTCCTGATAATAATCTTCTCTGTAGCAGTACCATTTGACAGCAAAATGAATAAAAAAAAATGTTTATTATAGGAGCCCATGAAGCAGCAATATCTAACAGAATAGGAAATTGAGCTTTTAAGGAGAAAGGAAGAGGAAAAATGAATATTTTGATTGATAAAGCAATCTCACATTACAATAAAGTTACAAACATTAGGTAATTTGGTGTATAGGAAATTGAACTCACCCTTTTGATGTTTTATCATGGGTCCACCAATGCCCTGTGTTGAAGACTATGATATTAGCATCTCGATACCTAGTTGTAGTCCGGTCCATCAAATCCAATCTTAATGTCTCAAATGATCCATTTTTGGACTTGAAAGTTGACTCTTGAACAATGAATGGCGAAGCAACAAAGTCCACTGAACAATTATAATCCTAAAATACCGCACAGAAATTCTAGTAAGACACCATAATGCTACAAGATTCACACTACACAAAATAAAATACAAGTGATGAAAACTCGCCTCAAATCTAAAAGAATAAACGCCTTTCTTCTTAAATTCCTTTCTTCCCGATATTTCAAATACCCGTTTCTTGTTCTTGATGCTTTCACGGAGAATGCATATAAGTGACTCCCACATGTTCCTGTTCAGTGAATCCCCCACAAAAACCAGCCTCTGTCCCCTCAACCTCTCCAGAAAATCAGTTGCATTCAAACTGAGAGGTGAAATGATGACATCAATAATTGATCAAATACAAGAACAATAGTTGTACATTTTATTGCTGAAATGAAATGCATAGTTTTGCTTTGGATTAAAGAGACTTAAACCACATTAAATTCACAAAAAGTCCCAAACCCTATTACAAGTTAGTACTAATATAAAAGTCTTGGTTCAAATTCATATGCATACATCGTGTTTTCCACAAAACCTTAATTTTGCGTAATTGTTACAGTAAATATTGAATGTTAATCTCTTATTCCTTATTCCAATACAAACTACTTTTCTGTTCTAGATTGACAATAACACTTCATAGTCGTGACATACAAACAGTTATCATATATCTCTACCTTGGAATTTTGCACCCATATGGCTGCCACCTCCATTTAACATATTCTCCATCAGGCCTCCCATTACGGTAACAGTTAAAATCTCTATCAATATGGGGACAAGACCCTAAAGGATAGTATGGTTTTGAACCATCTCTTACCCACTTTCCATAAAAAATGTCACATTCCTCATGTATACCAACATGCATTTTCTCATTAAGAAGGACAGTTACATTCTTTAAATTCTTATCCCCAACCAGATCCCCTTCATGTTTTCCTTTGTTACTCTCTGACAACAAATAAGAAGAAAAAGTAGAATTCTCCAAACCCGTTACACTCTCTGTGTTTTTATCAGACACATTATTCACTCCATTTGTTCCATCAACCACAGCAGCACTTCCTCCTTCAGTCATCTTGGCAGAACTCTTGTACTCATGAGACTTTGAAGTGTTAGAATTGCTGTTCCCAGAGGAAGAAGAGTGGCTAGCGTTGCAAGGCAACAAGGGACAAGCAGCAAGCGAAGAATTTGCACCAACAGTATCAAGTTGTGGAACAAAGACTGCAACTTTCGGAACCCTGAGGGAGTTACCAAAAATGAAGAGGGACAACAAAACAAGAGAAGCTGCAGCACCTAAACTGAACCAAGAAAAAAGTTTTCTTCTGTGTGACAAAAAGGGGTCAGAGAAGGCGACTCTCTTCACAGAGAAAAGAACATGCATGCTGCTCTTGCGAACAAAAGCGGAAGTTTGAGTATAACAGAGTGGGTTCGAGGCGTGTAACAAGTGAAGAAAACAATGCGCTTGGAAGTTCAGAGTTGAGTTGGTGCAGGATGTGGTGATGTGGTGTGTGTTTCCTTTTGAAAAGAAAGCAGCGGAGCAACACAGACAAAAACAGAATGAACCGCTGTTGCAATTGGAGTGATGATACTATAACACCATGCTCCAACAAAAGGATCTCTAAGTGCCTTTAAATATTATTACTTCGATTTCTTTTTCAATTTAAGTTAATTAATTTTAGTTTTTCACTTTCCCAAGTTTATTCTATTTTCAAAAAATAAGCATATTTTTAGTCTTCCAAAACAAGTAATTTTATTTTAGTTTTTAGATCACACACTGATAATGAGATGCAAAATTTTAAACAAATACAAAATACTCCTCCTTTTTGTCATCATACAACAAGGTTTGCAGAGAAGGAAAAAAAAAATGTTGTTCAAAAGAAGAAAAAAAATGTTGTCAAGGTTTGGGTGATGATTGTGGAAGTTGAGATTGCTTTTTAAGCAAGCCTCAACTTTGTTCATTTCTTGATCTAAAGCAGCATCCTTATTAGTCTTGATTGTAGGATAAATGGATGTGGCAATTGACTCAGTTGATGCCATTGCAGGTGTATTTGCTCAGATTTGGTTTCGAGTTCAGCAGATGAAGCGAATGATTTAACAGTTGCCATTGCAGGTGTATTTGCTCAGAGTATTTGAGCATATGTTCCATTATTTAAGAAAAACACATTAAAAAAAAAAAAAAAACTTCAGACAAAAAATCTAGGCTTTGTATGATATTACGAAATTTAACTTATGTTCTTGTTATTTCTACTTTGCTTAGTCTTAGGTGGATTAATGTTTGTGTTCTTTACAGCACACATTTTTATTAATAAGAAAGAAGAACATTAAACAAATAGTTAATAGAAAGAAAATTATATGAGAATTTTTTTTTTTATAAATTTTAAGATTTAATTCCTCGTCTCAAAATTTCTTTTTTTATTTTGAATTAAATTATTATTGGAAAATGTTTTTCTCCTAAGATTGAGTATAAATAAGTTTTCTTTTCTTATTGAATGATGATCTAGTTTCCCATCAACAACAGTTCATCTTCGTGCATAACTAGTATTTTAGCACATATGCATTGCATTATATGGATTAATGCTTATTTTATATAATTATAATAAATAAGTATTTTTGAAAATAGAAATATATTATAAGCTAAATTTATAATTAATTAATATATTTAGTTAAATTTTAGATCTAGAATAATTAATTGATTAGAGAAAATGATGAATATACAGTTAATATGAAGTAATAAAAATATCAAATTTATATAGACCATGTTTTATTATTATTATCAATTTACAGTGATTTAACAAGATAAAAAGTGTAAAGAGTAATTTAGAAGAAGAAAAATTCATTGGGAATAAAACCATATATTAAAAGCAAGTATGAACATCAATCAAGAGGAAAGTAATGACAAGAATAGTTTATAGGAATTGCATTTTACATTCTGTCTATCAAAGAATTTATTATTACTATTTTCTTATTTAGTTGTCCTTTAGGACTAAATTTATTTTCGTATTTTAAAATCTCATAAATAATTTTTATATAATAATAATTCATAATAAGTAAATATTTTAAGTTTCTAATTTATATTTTTATTAGTAATAAATACTTTAAATAATGTTATTTTTAAATTGAAATGAATAAACAATTGAGAGAAATAAATATATAAATAAAACTTTGATATAATTAAAACATATTTTTTACTTAATTGTGAGAATAATAGTGTGAATTTACTTAAAAAAGAAAGAGATTGTGTTAATACATTTTTTTTAGAGAGAGTAAGAAAAGTAAAAGGTTTACTCTCAATTAGAGTTTTTAAATTGTTAAAGCAATCTTCTTTTCATATATATATTCAAAATAATATTTAATTAAAAAATAAAATAGAAAACTTAACAACTTTTATTAGAATTGAGATAATTATTTATTAGAATTTTTAATGATGTTTATTACCGTTGGGACGACCATAAATTTAACATGTGATTGAATAATGTTTTTGATAAAAAAATTTCAAAAATAAAAAATATATTCAAAAAATTAATATTAATTTATGAAGAAAAAGTTTTGTATATTAATTTCTGTCAACATCGTATCTTTAATTTATACATAAACTTACGAAGAAATTTATTTATTTATTATTGTCTTATAAATGTTTTAGAGAATATTTAAACAAATAACCTTTATTTTGTTTTAAAATACATCAAATTGGCTTCGGTTAATATGTTCAAAGTTTATCTTTAGATAAATTATAACAATGTTTTTGTTTACAACAAGTGAAAATGATAATAATAACACTTGGATGAAATGATACAGTTTGAATTTTGAATTAAGTTAATTTATATTTAATTGAATTGAGATAACTTTTTATTTATTAAAATTTGTAAATGGAATCCGAGGGAGAAAGAAGGGACATATCGGTAAAGACAAAATAGATGAAAGGGTGAATCGTAGGGCTGACAGCGAGCAGAAGAGCACACACCTTCCTGCATGCGGTGGTGGTGTACAGATAGATAGATGTAGGGTAGCACCGCCCTCAATCTTCAATAACATCATGACACGTGTGCGGACATGGATGTGTGGCGACACGAGGTCGTAAATATTTGGGCATTGTGGTTCCGTGATGAATAAAGCTAAGTTGTAGCAGCAGTGCCTGCCACATTAAATAGGTTGTTGTCCATGTTGCAAGTTTGCCACCGTAGTCATACCATACATCATCATTGCTTCTCATTTTAAAGGAAAATTCTTAAAATTTGTATGATTTTTTTTTCTTTATTCTTTCAAATAACAAGCATTAGTTTTATTTTATTAACAAATTTTAAATTAACATTAATATTTGATAATATGTTAATTAGTATGAACCTTCTAAATATTATATATCTAATATAATTATGATATAATATATATATATATATATATATAGTAAAAGAATGATTAAAAATATAAAAATTAAAATACTCATTTAAAGATCAAAATTTAAATCGAATCAGTTAATAAAAAATTTAAAATTAAATTTTTTTAAAATATAATATAAAAGTAATATTTTTTTAATCTCGTTTATTTATTTTATTTTATATATTTTATATTTATAAATTGAGATAAGAAGTAATTATAATAAATTTAGATGATAATGATGAACATAATATCACATTTTATAATTTTTTATTATTAATATATTTATTATATTATAAAAATACTATTTTATTAAATTTGATAGAAATTTCACATTGAATTCATAGTTTTACACTTAAGCTGTTTTAAAATTTTGATTAAAACTGATTTCATTATTTATAAAAAGACACTACGTTTTTTTTTTTCATAATTTACGTATAAATAAATAAAAACATATTTTATGTACTCTAACGAGTAAAAGTAATTAAATTATATTAATTTATATATATGTATTAATATTTCAAATTTTAAATTTTACATAAAATTGTAATAATTTTTTTGACTAAATTTTATTAACTAAATCTAAATTTGTTCATTAAGAACAAATTAAAATTTGGGCTAAATACATTAAAAGAAAGTAAGATGAAAAAAATTATTACAAATTTCTAAAATTATATTACTAGTCTAAATTTAAAAAATTCTATAACTTGTTGTTTTAATATTTAATTTTTTTATCTGGTCTAAATCCTAAACCCTTATTAAAAAAATACTTATTTTATTAATTTTATATAAAAATTATTTTTTTATGTTAAAGTTTTAATTAAAAAAAAACTTATTTTTTTCAAAAAAAAATTTAATAATTTTTTTTAAAGAATAAAATTTTCTATTTACTCTCATAAAAGGAACTATTCAATCCATTTTAAAATGTTTTGTTAATTTCAAACACTAATTTCATATAAAAAATATTTGTATAAAATTATATTTATATATATGTACACATTAATCAAAATGATATTAAATTTTTAAAAGGAAAAAAATAGTGAGAAAATTATTGTCAACCTCTATAAAAATATAAATTTTATTTTTTATTTCCATAAAATTTTGGTCAAGTGCATTTTTATTTTTTTGATTTTTTATATATTTTTATAAAAACTATTTATTTATTATGTTTTTAATAATATTAAATTAAATTAATTTCTTAATCAATTATTAAAGTAAAATATTATAATATTTCAAAATAAACATAATACATATATATATATATATATAATATAAATATTTTGATCAATAGATAAGTTGATTTGATTTTAAAAATAAAAGCTCAGAAAAAAATGATTCTGTTTTTTTATTTATTTACTATTTGTGATTGAATTAATACTATTTTAAACACTTGTTTAATGTATGAGTTCTGCTATTTTCTGGTGTAATGTGGCATCTGAACATGTGTATGGGCTTTTTCTTGTAAACCGAAATGGTGTGGTGCGATCCTCTGGACTATAACAACTACACAAACGCTTATTACACCTCCAAATTTTATTATGTATTTTCTTTGCACCATGTTGGGTACTTTCATACAACATTCACTTCTTAATAAAAAAAGATTTTACACATAAATATATAAGATTTGGATTATTACACCATTCACAAGATTTTTACAGTGAATGAATCTACTAGATTTATTATCCCAGGATTTAGGATCTCATAGTTTTTTTTAGGATTTTTTTGAAATATTTATTTCAAAACTTAAAATTTGAACACCTCTGAAACATACTTTCTATTTTAAATTTTACAGATTGAGTTAAAATTTTACTATTTTAAAAATTAAAATTATTAAGTAAAAAATTAATACTTCTGAAAAATACTTTTTAAGAGATATTGAATTTTCATCCATTCTGAAAATTACTTACCAGAAACATATATTTTTAAAATGTATAAAAACATAGGAATATTAAAAAAATTGAAAAGAATAAATAGGTAATTGTTGAAACTCTTTTGCTTCAACTTCCAACT